GAGGTACTCCTGAGCCAGGACGTCGCGGCATTGTACGACCTGCTCCAGAAGGGGGGCGAGGATGCCCGACTTGTACGTCTCGAGATCCACCAGCTGGCTGAGCCGCACAATGTTGCTCCCGACCAGCAGCTGCAGCTCCTTTCTTTCTCTCGTCCGCTGTTCGCGCTCGCGGGAGTGGCCTTGGTGCTGCAGACGCACCCACAGCTTGTTCATCTCGACAAAGTTGGTGAGGATGAAGTTGATCGAGTCTGACAGGTTGCCCTCGGGGCCGTCGCCGTCGCCCGTGGGCAGGTAGTCTCTGGCCTGACCCGACAGGTAGTATCGGAGGAACAGTCCGCGGATGGGATGCTGTACGCCCCTGCTCATGTCCATCATGTCCTTCATGAGTTCCTTGACTGGCGCGTCGGGAATCGACATGTAGGCAGTGCCGACGGTGATCATTAGGTACAGGCGCGGGACGATGTTGCCTGCATATTGGACAAGCTCGTAGAGGTCGGCGAGGTGGTTCACGGGATGGTTCTCTCGGAGATGGACCGACAGGTAGCGCAAGGCGTCGAAGACGGCCATGTAGAGCTCGTAGTACTGCTTCGGGCCGAGGCTGCTCGTGCGCAATTCGGAAACCAGAGTAGAACTAGTCGTGAGGGGTCGCGTCGGTTAGTCTGGGCCATTGAGGCTTATCACGACGACGGGCGAGGTCTCCCTCGAGGAGGCTCTGCGGGATCCGACGGCAGAGGATGACGTACCAGCACTTGAGGGCATCCATAAGCTTACTCGGTGTATCGAGGCATTTCCGCATAAGGGCAGTCTGCTGGCGCACAGCAACCAGGGCATCCTCCAGGAGGCGCGCCTGGTCCTCAGGCGGCACCGGAGTCGCAGACATGTCGAGGTAGGACCGGCGGGGTAGCTATCGATCGAGGCGATGTAGGGGGGGGGAGGGCGACGGGCTTTTTTAATAGAAGCTCATGGAGGGAAGAAGAAACGGCTTCTGGGCGCGGTAGAGAGGGCTTGTGTTTGAGCAGTTGCGCAATGGGATGGGACGCACGGGTTCGATTAGTGTCGTCGGCGCGGGCGAGGAGAGAAGCTGGGAGGAGTGAGTTGGATGTGTTGAAAGGCTGACGACTGACGACAGAGGCAGACTGGCTGGCTGGCTGGCTGGCTGGCTCCAGGCAGGTTGCTGCTTGTGAGGTAAGGTCGGGACGGCGGAGCTTGGTGCACGCACTCATCAGTGGCTGGAGAGGGCCACCAGAAGGCACGTACCTATCTCAGCATACATACGGTCTGTGGCTAGAGTTTGTGGCTGAGCAGAGGCCCTGGCTTCCAGATGGCAATATTACCTAATACACGTGACGTACGATGCACATGCGCTTATCTAAGAGGTTGCGCACGTCCGGCACGTGATGGGCATGTGGACAGGGGGCACCGCGCCGGCCGGGACCGATTCCGGTTTCCCGCCGACGGCTGCAGCAAGACTGGGGGGGTGTCGCAGTCCAACAAAGTCAAGACTCTCTTTCTCATAATTACGGGCCAGACAAGATCAAACCTCGAAGAAATCACAGTCGTACACTACGGCTGTCGGTCGTACCGGGTGCTGACCGAGACCTGTGCAAGCTCTAAAGTACATTCATTCAGGATAGGTATCACCAAACTCCTCTCGCTCATGTTCGTTCGTCCGGTCTGGAATCGACTCGTGAAAACGCCGGACCGGTCCTTTTTCTCCGCCCTGCATGCATACTCCCGTCCCAATTCGTCCTCCCCACATATATACACTGGATTGGTTTTGTCCGATTGCCCCCGAGATGGCCAAAGCACTCGACAGTGTGCAACTATGCCACCCCCGGCGGGGTGTTTATCAGGCGGCCCTCAAACTACTCAGGCCGATGAAGCAGCCGTCGCCGGGAGCCCGCAGTGTGTCCGCAGGTACTCGACGAGCGTCGTGCTAATGGAACCCGAGAAGGCCGCGAACGCGATGGTCGAAGTCGTGTCCGGCTCGCGGAGGCGGCGCATGTGGGGTACAATCTCCAGCTGCTCGATGCCCTCCACCCGCTGCAGCTCGGCGATCCATTCCATCATGTCCTGCTTGAGATCGGCGAGGAGGCGGAGGTCCAGCACGCTCAGCCCCCGGGGGCCCTCCCACGCCGCCGGCGGCTCGCCCCCCTCCACGACGACCCTGACCTTTGGCACCATCTTGTCGAGCCCCCGCAGGTACTTGCACATGTTGGCCCAGTCCCGCCGGTCGCTCTCGCAGTCGTGCAGCGGCCCGTCCTTGCGCACCGTCATCTCTCGGATCATGGCCCGCGACCGGGGCGTCAGGTCCCTGAGGAAAGGGACGACGGCCACAATGTCGCTGCCAAAGTCGAAGCCGTGGAGGCCGTACAGTATGTGGCTCGCCTCGCGGTACATCTGGCGGTTGACCGTCATGACGGCCAGGTGCATCGTCGTCTCGGAAGCCAGGTGGTACGTCGTCTCAAAGCACTGGCGCTGGAAGGACTTCTCCATGGCCCAATACCGCGAGCGGCGATACGTCTCGAGGATGCCCGCGGGCAGCTGGTGCACCGCCTTGCTGCGGACCGCGAGTCTGCTCCGCCCCCCGTCGTCCAGGAGATGGTCGTAAATCATCATGCGGATCTCGACGGGAATCCGCATCAGGGGCGACTTGTCTTTGTCCATTTTCGCGGGGGCAGAGAGGTGAGGGGAGTGGATATCGGGGGTCGAAAACCTGGGGAGGCAGAACAGGGATAGGAAACTTTCCCGTCCAAGCACCGAGATGTCGAATTCGGATCACGACACAGCAGCGATGAACAGGAAAGATATATGCCCAGACACGCAGCGAAAGAGGCAAATGCTACGAGAACAACCTACGGAATCACAGAGTGCGCCGCCGGCCGGTCTTTATGAGCATCCTTTCCCTGCGGCAACCCCCCATACAGAACTGGTTAACACCACCACAACGCGGTCCGAGGGGATCCATCAAGGTGCTGACATGGACGTCGTCTCCGACTCTGACTGGTCCCCCCCCCACCTCAGTCCCTGAATCGGCGTCAACGCCCGCAGGCCCTCGGCGACTGTACCGCATACCTACCTATCGCACATGCACCACGCACGAATCCTCCTCGCTCTGGGCCCTCAAGGTTCCTTTGTTTGGCGGTGGATCTTACGACCAGGCGTTTTTGTTTGCGCTGCACCAACAAGACTCGTTAACGCACCCGTCAGCAGTAGCCAAGCCCCATGTTTGCTTGAACGTGTAGAATAAGGGGTAGTAGTCCTGCACGATACGAAATGCCCCCCGCCTCTTGCTTACTGCTTACTCCCTGCATGGGAGCGCAGATGGGCGCAGAGTACAGTAAGCGACCCAGGTGTCGAGTGCGTATAATGTCCCCGGTCCGATGGCTCCAACATACAGATATACACTATCCGTAGAGGGGTCCAGTCAATCGACGGCGACTTTCCGTGGCCGGCCTTGTTCGCAGCACCCACGGGAGTCGAACGTAAGGATACTTTCCCTGCATGTACGGAGTGCGCCGCATGGGATAGGGACAGATACTTTAATACCAAAAAAAACCCTACCGCAAGCCTCTGTTCCCTTCCTTTGCCTTTTCTTTCCCGGGACGGCCTAAACGGTCACCTTGGCCCCCAATTCCGGCCGACTCTTGCGATTCGGCCTGGCTCGGCCGGCCATCAGCCCCCAAGTGGCTGGCTGGGCGCCCCGCGCGCCATTCTCCCATGCAGGCGGCGGTAGATCAATCACGGCACCCGCGTTGGTCTAGGTAGGTTGAATTATTTTGATGGCAGGTGATCTACATCGCATCCGACGCCTCCCGCTTGTCTTGGCTTCCACGACATACGAAGTACCGGGCCCTCGGTCGCATGCAGGGCCACTCGCAGACTGAAGTACACGATAACCAGCCTGGCCCTTGTGCGGGCTACGAGCCATTCATGTCGTTTGCGGTGACGGCGTGCTTGCGCAGTCGGCGGAATGCATTCTGACCCCATGTCCACAACACGTTCTGAGGCCTGGTGCGTGGCGACGACGTCGCTCAACCGTGTTGAAGCACGTTGCCAATAATCGGCACACAAAGCCCAAGTAGTCAGCTAAGGCTGACTGTATCTCGGACAGAGGATTTCGAGACACCAAGTGGGGGTGGGCCATCTTCCTCGTAAGGGTTGGCTTTCGATAGCTTCTGTTGACCAGAGATCTGGGGGTAGGGGAGGGCAGGATATTTTTGCCTCTTCGCCATGGGCATCATGGGACGACAACCAGGGATTCATTAGACGCCCCCCGCAGCAGCTGGCTATGATGATGGCCCGAATCTACAGTGTACGCCCAAACTCAACATGTTTGAACTAACAAGTGGTTCACGACATTCTTTCGAGATCCAAGTCTTGGATTCAACAGCCAACCATACCAAACAACAAGCCTTCTCGTCCCGGGCCGTGCTGACATGTGGAGCGCACTGACTTTGCCTTGCCATTACCGGGCACGCGCGGGCATACCTGCAGTTAAAACAAAACCTCAGAATGTGGCCCTTGAACGCCGGCACTCTGCAACGTTCGAGGAAGACGTATTTGAAACGGGAAGGTTTCTGGCGGCGGCGGTGGAGCGAGGACAGTTCCATCCTGGATCGCAAAGCAGTGAGTGCTTCGTCATCAGCGCTTCGCTGGGGTAGGATCTCCGAGAGACCAGGGTTAGGGTTGGGATTAACCGTGGGGTCGGCCCCAACATGGATGATAGATAATCCCTCAGTTGGAGACGATTGGATACCGAGGCTTGTTGGCAGCAACAAGATAACACCGCCTTGTTGGCTACGCAACAATATCCGGTCAGGCATCCCAAGTTCCGGCCTCGGTTCCGCCGCCCCCCGAGACCCGACCCCGCCCGCGTGTGTGGATCATCCCCCCCTCCCCTAACTCGAGTATCCATCCGAACACTCAGACATGGATAATAATCCCTCAATCGGTGACGACGAAACAACGAGCCTTGTTGGCAGCAACAAGTTAACATAGCCTTGTTGGCTAAGTGGTATAGCGTCTCACTAGTATTACTCTGGTGTCATGAGAAGATCGGCGGTTCGATTCCGCCACGAGGCATTTATTTCTTTTGATTCTCATCCCAAGAACGAGATTTTTAATGGTGGCTTTCCTTTTACCTACCCCATCCATCCATCCCCTCGTCATGTTTTTATGCTTTTCATTATCCTGCCAATGTTGGCTATTGCTGTCAATGGAAAAAAACCCTGTTGTAGATAGCGCCATCTGCTTTACCCTTTCTGGCTCTCTCCCCTTGCTAGGGGGAGTGACTCTAGAGTTTCTTCCTATCATCATCCATCGTAGTGTCGCCATATTCATCGCCGGTTTGCATCAGCGACCAATCCAAACTCTGTCTGTCCCAATACGCAGCTACGCAATAGCGACTGATCCGCGGTGCTCACACAACGATACAAACAGATGCAGACAGCAACATACTATTATTAACACAAGGCACGAGCACGCAGTAGCGACACAAACAAGCTTCGCTTCCGCCCACTTCAAATGAGAAGGCTGTCCACACATCGTTCAGGGCCATTCCCCCCGAGGTCCAGTCTCGAGGGTTGGTCCTGGTTGAGCCGGAATAGACGCGGGGCGGGCTGTGCAGAAGATTTTCCAGGGAGTCTCCAAAATCCTGGGAGCGGAGGAATCAGGAGATCGCCACTGCGCCCCCAGCAATGTAATGGGGTCGGTCGGTGCGGTGGGTGGTCTCATAAAAAGAAGGGGAAAAAGTGTGAAAGAGCCACAGAGCCCTCTGGGAACCCGCGTGGGCATAGGCCAGCACATTTGATGATCCGCGTTCGTGCAATTGGCTGGCTTTCTTTCCCGTTTCTTTTTTTCTTTGTCTATTTCTTTTTTTGAACTACGCATACGGAGTATTTTTGCCCTTGCATTTTCCGGGACGAGACGATGATTCCGAATGGTAGCATCATCTCCGAGCCTGGAAACGACGCTAGCCCGTCCGCTACCTTGTCTTATTTATTATCCCTATATCCAACCCAAACGACGCACGTCTCACCATGTTTAAAGGTGATTTGTTAAGACCGTTGCAGACTCATTAGACAGCCCGGGGGGCGGGCAATATGCGTGCCGACCGGAACGATTATCGGAAATTCATGGTGAGTGTTCTCATCTGTTGGCATTTATTAACTTTATATTGCGTTGTGCTCTTGGCTCTTTTGCGGTGAAGCCGGCATGCCGATCTTGTGTCTTTACCGGATCCATCGGTCGTTTGCTCCAACATCCAATGGTTTATTCGCCACTTGACTGACGTAGACGTAAGTGTGCACTATCGGTCGGTATACATAGTACAGCGTTCATCTTCTGCCCACACACACAACGCGCCCCGGTCGGGGCAGACTCCATTGTATCTGTCGATCAGACAGACCATTCTCGAAAGCACATCAACAGGTCGCGACCAGTCACCGGTTAGCGGCACCTCGACTACTCGGCTTGGGCTAGCGGCGGCGACCGTACCATGGTAGAAAGAAAGACTTCGGCCAAAAAGACCGGGGATCCAGAGCATAATTGCGACATGTATGACGGCTGTGGATCTTCCCCTGGCAGCGCCTTGTTATGACTCGTGGGTACGCTGCGGAGACCGCATATACAGGTACACTAGAGAGGAAGTCAAAGTCAAGCAAGAAAGCAACGGCCTGAAGGCCTCCAAGACCAAAGTGGACAATCGTAGGTACCCATTCGCGCGCGAGAGCGTCGTGCCCGGTCTGTGCCGCCGCCGCCGCCGCCCCCCCCCCCTCCCTCCCCTACCTAGTTCGAGATCCTCGGTGTTCCCTGCCATCGGAGTAACGGTTTGGAAACCCTTCCAGGCCCCAAGGACTGGACTCGACTGGCCTCCTTCATCTCTTCTGACACTTGGACTGTGCTTCTTCTATCTTGTCTGATTTCGACTGCCTGTTGTCTGCCAAATCCGGCCCTTCTGTTTCTTGTTTGACGCCGATCGAAATCTGCAAGCTATTGGGGTGCTGGAAGACCTGCCGCTCTTCCCGTGAACTTTGTCCAGTACCGCAATTTCCGTCAATTGCCTCCCTCAACATACAACGACTAGCTCGGGAAGAACCCGTAGCAATCCCGAAGAAGGCTTTTGGGAAGAAAGGAAAAACCACGAAGCCAGGAGAACCGACGAGGCAACCAGTCGTACCTTGTTCTGGTATCTGGGGTTGGAAAGCCAGAGGGGATTGCGCTGCTTGACGGACCACGACGCTCCAAACACGCTCCCAGTGAAAGGGAGGATCATATCATCGACAGGATTTTGCCATCTTTTCTTTTCACCAACGAACCCACTTCGCACCGCCTCGCCCGCGCGGAGTTACGCCGCCCGCCGGAGGAGGAGGGGGCAAGCACATACAAAGTAGTCGAGCGTCAGCGAGACCTTTCACATCAGGTAACCGGCGGAAGCCCGCAGCGATGACGACGACATCCGACCCCAACCCGATGACGACGAAACGAGGGGCGGCGCCCCTGACGACCGTCTTCACGACGCCCGACTTCTGCAACTCCAAGTACTGGACCAACACCCTCACGCCGCCGCTGTCGAGCGTGGTGTGCATGCCGACGTCGTGGCACCAGCTCTTCGACTACAGCTGGGGCTACTACTCCCCCGGCATCTGCCCGTCCGGCTACACCGAGGGCTGCGCGTTCCCGACCTCCCTGGCCTTCACGAGCCCCGACGGGGCCCTCGGGCTCGGCGGGCCCGTCATCGCCGGCGAGACGCCGCGCCTGTGCTGCCCGACCGGCTACACCTGCTACACGGGCACGTCGGCGTACAGCAAGTGCATATCCACCAACCCAACGACGACCTTTCACGACAGCAACAACCAGCTGACGTCCCAGCTCGCGCTCGTCTACGCCGTCCAGGTCCGGTGGCAGGAGTCGGACCTGTCCATCCTCCAGACGAACCCCACGGTCCCAGGGGCGACGTACACGGCGCCCGTGTCGTCGGCGACGGCGAGGTCGACGGCAACGGGCAGCGCGCCGATAGCGACCGGATCGACGACGGCGGCGGGGTCGAACGCTGGTCCCTCCTCGGGTGACAGCGGCGGCGACGGCGGGGGGATCTCGGTGGCCGCGACGGTCGGGATCGCGGTCGGCTCGGTGGTGGGGACGCTGGTGCTGGCCCTCCTCGGCTTCATGATCTGGTGGCGGCGGCGGCGGAGGCAGGAGGCCGGCGGCGGCGCGCGCGGGGACTACGACGCCACCGACGGCGGCGGCGACGCCAAGCTGGGCACCCTGGCGATCCCGCACAAGGCGCCGTCCAGCAAGGCGTCGTTGCTGGACGCCATGTCGCCGAGCTCGCCGGGGCGGCCGGGGACGGGGACGACGGTCTTCGGCGACGCGCCGCCGGCGCCGCACTCGCCGGCGCCGACGCAGCTCGACTCGACCGACGTGATGGAGATGGAGACCATGGAGCGGCCGCAGGAGCTGCCCGAGGACAACGCCGTCTATGAGATGGAGGGCGACATGCCGGGCCCGCCGCTGTACCGCGAGAAGGAGGGGTGGCCTCTCCGTTGACGAGGTCGGTCCGGGGGGGGGGGGGTCCGGGGGGGGGGGGGCATGGACGGGCGCGGTCCTTGGCCGCCGTCGCGTCGTCCGTCGATTTATATACCATGTCTTGTATTTCAGCGCCGGAGTTCTGGGAGGGAAGATGAATTCGACTGCAAGCAGCTCACGGGACCCCACGGGTCTGTTACCTTGGGATGGTCATGCTCTGAAGAGCAGCAAGGAAGGCAATGTTTTAGGGATAATTCTAATTATATCACCCTCGGCCGCGTTCCACGTTTGTGCCATTCTGAATAGTCGCCGCCCTCATGCGGAAAGCACATGAAGTCCTCGTGCAAGCTGATGTAGATCGACGGTCAGGAGCACGGGATCCTGGACGTCGACGTCGTGGACGGTAGGTGTCTTACCTCCCAGCCGGTCAAGGTGAAGGTCCAACCCTAGATTACTAACGAGCGCAGATACTACAAGGCGTACAGCAAGTCGCCGGCCTGTAAAGACTGGGCAATGTCGTTCGAGCCGTCCAGCTGGCTACATCGAGGGACACGGACGGCAGGGGACGTGACCAGATGGGATGGGGCACCGGAGCGCCGGGCGACGAGTTCGACAACACCTTCAGAATGCTCCTGTCGATTCTGTTTGGCAGCTTGTGGATTTCGAGCCGTGGTGCGTTCAATTTGGAAGACTTTACCAAGATGACGGGATGCAGAGTATTGGAGTTTGACAGCATTCAAGTCATTGGAGAAGGGGCAGGCTCCCTGAAGATTCGAAGCTTGCCCATCTTCAATGGGATAGCGGCGCAAGGATACCATTGGTATAATGCTGCAACGACAAGGAAAGCATCATTTTCCCACATCGAATTGTAGATGGCGTCTGCTAGTGTACTTCCAAACACGAGCAATATGCGATTGAGTGGACAAGTTAGGGACCTGCCTCTCATAGCTCATAGAGCGTGTCACGTCTTGCGGCGTCAAACCAGCGACCAATGCGCCCCATGGCCTGCATACATGCTCTTGGTTGATCTGGTTCACACTGGCAGGACAAGCGGACAGGCTGTTCTCATCGTGAGTGAAGACCAGGCGAAGGAAAAGGCGGCTAGATGTCAAACTCTGATGCAAGTCAAATTCAGGACCAACTTCCAGCCCACGCCCGTATAATGCTAAATGATACAACAACGCCGCGCGAGATCATGACTCCGTGTCCGAGACGGCCGTGACGTCCCTCCTGTGCTTATCCCAGGGGCTCCCTCCCCTGTTCGTCGGGGTGTCGGCGTGATGGCTGGCGATCTTCGTGTCGACGGGCGCCTGGCGCTTCTTCTCGCCGCCCTGGCCGCCTCCCGTGCCGAAAAAGCCCTGCAGCTTCGACCCGATGCCGGAGCCGTTCGAGCTGCTGACCGCGTCGCCGCCGCCGCCGCTGCCGCTCTTGCCTCCGCCGACGGCCCCCGTCGCCGTCGACGACCCGGGGGTCATCGACGGGCCGTGCGTCTCAACCGCCCGCGTGTTCGCGTTGCCGCCGCCGTAGCCGCCGCCGACCTGCCCGGCGTCGTCGGG